TTTAAATTTTACAATCTTCAATTCCTTATGTCTGTTACATCGAACTACGAAGTTATTTTTTTTGTGAACTGTGGTTTTTTTAACAAAACAAACTTACTTAATTTTGTTCAATAATCAAATGGAACAAAAAATCTCTTAATATTATACACAAAAAAACTTTTGGGAAAATTTTCAGTATCAAGTGGTAAGAAAAATAATAATTTGGTAGGTAGGTTTTATTACGTTTACTACTTTTAACTATTAATAAAATTACTACCACTACAATAATCTTTAATGTAATCTTAAATGTAGATGAAAGTTAATTTTGAATTAATAGTAGTAAATAAAACTAAAATGTAGTGTTAGCTATTTTCAGATATTCAGAATTGAAATTCGTCTACAATAGCAAACACTGTTATTAACTATACACATTAATAATATTTATGTAACGTCTATATCAGTTGATTATTTTCATTTCCGAATTATAGGGTTTTCCTTTTCGACTGACTAGCTAGGGAGCGGCGCCTTTATATAACGCAGTATCTTTAATAGAGTCAGCGTTGAATATTCGAGCCGTCTTTCCGAGAGGTGATTCTGATTAGTGATTGCGCTCCGATTTCCGCATACTCGAGTATCTTACACAACAGACAGGGCCCGGTCCAGCCCATTCGACCCGTCACAATGTTATCAAAGTCATCAGCGAAATAAGTGAAGTCTGTCCTACCGTGAAAAGGTTTAAAGGTATTTCAATGGATTTTAAAACTGAGATATATTGTACAGATGAAGAATACTTTGCAAGCTAGAGATTTGTTTTTTTTTCATGAGACATATTTCGACATATTTCATATTTTACAACAAAAAAAGAGATTTTCGCATATTATAAAAAGAGTTTTTACACTCTTAAGCGGCCTTCTATCCATTTTTGAGTATGACTTTGTGCTCGGAATACTGCGTTGGTGCGGGCGATCATCATTTCGGTTACCGTCAAACCGCGTTACATTTACAAACTTATCTGAACCCGGTTATAATTTATACAATACGGACTCCGATATTAACAAAGTTGGTCACAATGGGCCGACGCCCAATACAATAACCAAAACGTCTCTCCTCGCGAACCGCTCTGCGGACGTTCTAGCGTCTCCGGAAATTACGAAACCTAGTAGGCTTTTTGTGCGGGAATAATTTAATGGAACGTTTCAATTGATTTTCAGCCAATTCCACCTGGAAATCGACCGATACGCGTCGCTGGGGCCGCTTTTCAGAGTGCGTTAAATTTTGATATTGATGGAGCTCGTCGCCTGATCCAAATGGCGCTGAACGTCTGCAAAGTTCATGAAACTACGTTTTAGAGACGTCGTTTAGTAGATATGTTTCAAACGTGTGAATTTCGAGATCCATTAAATATTAAATAAATAAATTTTTGTAAAATTTATTATTAATATTTTTTTCACCTTTGTTATCTGCTGTGTGCCCCAGAAATTCCAATATATTTGTTTATAATATTTATTTGTTTGTTGCGTGCGTCTACGATATTATATTAAATTTTAAAAACGTTTTTTTTACGCCTGTAAATTTAGAGCTTGGCGATAATTTTATGTTTGTTTTTATTTTTATATTTCTGATTATGAAATTTAAAAATTTTCTGTTCAGACAATGAACAACTTTTCACCTTTGTTATGAAGCAGCCTCCTGAAGAACTAAATGTTTTTTTTTTTATCAAATAGTGCGCTTAAGCTATATTTATATACCTGCAGTATTGCCAATTCAACTTGTAATGGATGACAATATCGTAAATCAAACACCATGTATATTAGGTTTCTGCTTTTGCGCGGTATTCTGAGTTAAAGTCTGTTCATAGATATAAGAAAGTGACTAAATGATACGAATTAAGGAAAGACCCGGGCAATCTGTAAGAATGAAATATGGCCGAACAGGTCCGTACTTTGTTTAGAATTTAATTAATTGGGGTTTTGTTAAGAAAGGTACTAAACAATATTTATTAATTTATGTATGTATTTATGTTTAAATCTAAAATAAAATTACAAATTATTTTTCTTACCTACTTAAATTAGTTAAAATTATTGTGTTGAATACACTTCCATAAGGTAGTTCTGCCACATTTAACCCCGGTTTCATCTTTTTCAAGCCTCCTAATTAAGATATCTAATGTAGGCGCGCTTTGTTCCTCGTATAACTGGTAAATTTTACGCCGTATTATATCTTGATCACTTTCATCTTCACTCGAGAAAATGTCAGCATCGCTTCTTTTTTTCCTCACTGAAATGGGATTATTCACAATTTTCCATACAGTTGATGTTGGAATTTTCGTCAATGTGGCGGTTTGTTCTAAAGATGCTTGCTTGCTGGCACCACGTTCAGTGAGAGTCAAAAAAACATTGTTTATAACTTCCTTAGTCTCAATAGAATAGTGTTTTCTACATTTGGGCCGGAGCATCTCCTGATATACATTAGACTCGCACATATTTTGCATAATTCGCACACGATTCAACACACGCTGTATTACACACGAAATAAGAATGATTACTAATAAACTTGAACTAAGTAGTATACCAAACCACAGAATACTAAACACAAGTAGGTATAAAATTATTTTCTATTACGGACCACAATTTTACCTGAATTTAAATTCAGAAACTTTAGGTAATAATCTTGTTGCATTGTATGTTAATGATGCTTGATTTAAATAAATATTATATTATTATTATTATTATTGTTTTCATTATTATTATTATTATTATTATTATTATTATTATTATTATACAAATCGGTGGACATTCTTTCCTGGGGCCATATTTCTATCAGATGTCTTTATTAAAGCGCACCATAATCTTTTACATAAAAAATATTATGTAATTCACACTACAATTTACTTCTCATATCTACCCAAGTCTCAAATTTGGAAATATTCTTCTTTGGGTTAGAAAATAGCAACCAGATTTTAAGTCAATTCTTAATTTAACCTAATCCGTATCTTTAAAAGGATAAAATTGTTGGCTTTTTCCAACTGTGACAGCATCTGAATCTATCGGCAAGTTCCACGGAACTAAATAGCTTCTTTTTTCAAACCTAATATATGGCTATAGTAGGCAATGAAACGAAGGCCAACATTGGACAATCAAATGGAATACTATGTATATTAGTCCGTTTTCTGGTTTTATTCAAAATTCTTTTGTAAACATTTTCCTATACTATCTCTTTCCTTTACGTTAGAAAATATTAATTTGAATATCACAAATTTCAAAATTTCACATTTTTATCTACAAATGTATTAGCCAACCCCTGCATAATTTTCAAATAGCTCGCTTACACAACAATATATGAAGCTTTCATAAAACGAAAAAAAGGAAAGAAGTAGGGATATGACAGTGTTATCAAAGGTATGATCTGTTCATAGATATATAAAAGCGACCAATTGCTTTTGAATGGGATTATCCAATGGTGGTCATTAACATACAATGCAACAAGATTATTAGTTTTTATTTGTGTTTTAACAAGTAATTTATTAGGTATCATGTTTCTATCCATACTTTTATCATAAAATGAGATGGAGATTTTAATGTCAGTATTTAAAAGCTAATGTATTATTTTATTTTTATTAATTTTTAATTTTATTTTTCCTGCAAATAAATTCCGATCAAAACCTTTAATTTAAATAACCTGCCATATTTTTCTGTTGAAGATGTAGGCAGCTGACTGATTGTTGTAGTTCCCCTTACATCCATTGGTCATTTCGATCAAATACCATAATATTTTTATAAAACTTCTGGATTCCTCCTGCGTCGGTTTTTGTTGACTCGAACTAACGTTTTGCCAATAGTCCTGTTGGCTTCTTAGAGCTTGACTGAAACTGGCTCGCATTTTACTCTGTACCTGCTTTTATATTGTTTGAGAGGGGCGGAGTTAAATGAGGGGTATATACGCCGTCTCGGATTCCCATATTGTGACAAGTAAAGAACTGAGTCGCGGTTAAGATCTTGTTTGCATAGTCGTAAAACTATCTCATTCCGAGTCATTAAACCCAGAATTAAAACACCTTACCACTGCTCTTCTCTCTAATAATTTCTACATTAAAGATATTAAACGTTCCTTCACAAAATACACTTCACCACAACCTTCCAATAGCAATCAAACCTTCTTTAGATTCAAAATATCACTGACCACATATCAAAAGTTCTAAAGAAATATACCGTCAAAACCGCTTGTCCCAAAATCTCTCAACATCTTCGATCCGTCAAGGAAAAAATTCCATTTGAGATGCCAGGAGCTTACAGCATTCCATGCATATGCGGCAAAGAATACATTGGAGAGACCGGACGAAAAATATCAACTAGGCTCAAAGAGTAGACAGACTAAGACAAATAAACTCATCAGCAGTTGCCGAACACAATCGCGAAACCGCACATAAAATTTTCTTCGATAAAACTAAAATTCTTGCATATAATGAATTCTTCTACTAACGGAAAATCCCAGATTCTATAGGAATCTATAACCAACCAGTCATCCGAGACGGTGTATATGCCCCTCATTTAGCTCCGCCCGTCTCAAACAATATAAAAGCAGGTACGGGGTAAAATACGAGCCAGTTTCAGTCAAGCTCTGAAGAAGCCAACATGATGATTGGCGAAACGTCAGCAAGTTCGACTAAGCAATCAACAAAAACCGATGCAGGAGGAATCAAGAAATTTTATAAAAATTATTACAGAAGCCGGAGGAAGTTTCTTTGAAAAAAAAACATATATTTTTTATATTTAGTACGCAATCTGGAACTCTCCTTACTTTCTCAATGTGGCCGCCAGGGGACAAACACCGAATGTTAATTATGTTCTACTTACTTCAAAAGTTTAAATGACGTTGGATAATCCTTCACATACTCTATTTTTCTTTCATATGTATGATTGCTTCAGGCTGTGGTACAAAAAAAATTGAAAACTTGGGATAATTGCGAGCGGATATGCGATTTTTACAATTTCGGTCGACGCGTGCAAAATAAAATAGAAAACTAAACATTAAAATTTTATTTTCACGCCATACTGTGCTGCCCGGCTACCCGAAGGATGGCTGCTTCATCCTAAATAAATAAATAAACAAAAATGTTTTACTGGTATAGTTTCATTGCGGTAGTACTGGTTTTTAATTAATTCAACAATATTACAGTGAAACGTTTACTTTTGAGTGACTTCGACTTCAGTGTCGGCGCAAAATATGTGTTCGTCGTCGCCGTCGTACAAGTTGAGGTGGATCATCAGTCGCCCAAACATGGGCGGCGGTTTAAATTGCTTTTCCAAAATCTCGAATTTGTCTAAAGTATACTCTCCCTAAAACGTATTGTGTTTGATCTAGATTTATTTCTTCAAAGATATGTCTTTCATTACCGCCGGTGAGTCGCAGAAGTTGGTCAGTTTGGGTTCGATGGCGTCCCTTACCGAATTCCATGCGTCTTCTGCGTATTCCTTCAGCAAGTCACACAAGACTCCCTCGTCGGTGTACACGTCAGTCTCCCAGTCGCTGTTGCTGTATTTGTCAGTTTGGAAGGTGTACTAGAAGTAGGGTAGTTACAAGAAAACCTGACATCCACAGGCTGTAGAACTTGAACTCTGAACAAGGCAACAGTATGTTTTAGAATGCTGCCTGAAAATTGGCTCGGAAGAAGCCAGAAGTACGTTTGGCAAGATAGAGTAAATACACGACGCGGAAGAAATCCAGAAGAAATGTACTTACAATACAGCAATAACAGATCTACACGATCTTCAGTTGAGGAAAAATCATGGCATTTTCAATTATTTTCATCACATCACCAAAGCCATTATTTTTTCGAATTCACAAAACGTATATTTGCAAATTTGGAATTGAAACTAAATCTAATTATCTCTTTCTGGATGTCAAAAGCAAGATATTTGCAAGACTTGGAAGGCTGACCTTAACGAACTAATTCACATTTGGATATGCCTTGATATTATAAGTTAGCTCTGAACAGCAAAGAAGTCACTATTTTGTCTCACTTAGAACTAACCACAATTGTTTTTATTTTTATCTCATCGCTGGTGGCCTGTCTATCAAGGTCATCAAGGTTTTTTAAAAAATATCAAAAATTACTATTTACATTCAGATTGTAACAAACCAGTTCTTTTGAGAACCACAACTCCACAATTATCATCAAAATAGTTGTGCAGTTTTATGAGTAATATTTTTATCATCACCAAGTATTTACAAGGGCATACAACTTAGGCAAGGTGAACCAGCGACTTGCATATATCGTATCCTTCGGGTACTAGCCAGAATAGTTTTAAAGTACTAGCCAAAAATAATTTTTATGATTTTAAATAAAACACCCTGTCAATCAGTAAGTTTCAATTAATATTTTCATATTTCAATTTGTCAATCTGTCACCGTGAAGATCTTACTTAAGTAAATTTAATTTTCGTATATCCTGTTGGAAGGTGACAAGTTCATTATAATGTAGATATACTAATTAGAGTAAGCGTAAAAACAAATTGCTTATAGTAACAAACATTATCAATACTACAAAGTGTTTTTAAAATATTTTTTAGTGCAGGAAGTCGTTAATGTTTTTTTTGTTCTACTTTATTATCAGACAATTTAACGGAACGAAGTTTTCCATGTAATAAACTCGTTTTTGACAGTTTTTTCTCCAGCCCTCGGGGCTGAAAAAATCTATCCCTAAAATATTAGAAATACTGTATTTAAAAAAAAGGGGGGTTTCAAATAGTACCTATAGAGGCAAACTGTCAATTCTCGTCCTCAAGAATAATGTAGTTTTTAATTAAGCCTTACCGTGATGTCGCGATTCAAGGGTCTGGTCGCCTCTATCCTGGCAGAAAGGACCTTGAAACCATCGACTGTGTCCAAGTACATGTCGCCCTGTATCGGATTTTTGCCGTTCGCGGGACAAATGTTCAGATTGACGACTTTAATGGAGGCTGGTGGACTGCCGCCTTTCTGACAACAGACGAGACAAATTTGGAACGTCACAAAAGTTGTGAATTTCCCGAAGAACATGGCTGCGTTTGATGCGGAAAACGCAGTCCATGTTTTATATATTAGCCTGGTTTGTGTTTGTTTTTTTTTTATTGAGGCGACCTTACACCGAAATAACGTATAATTTTGAGTGAATAACAACAGACAAGGTGGCGTTACATGACTTTTCCGGACGTTCCGGAAAGTATGGTTGTGTTTTACTCAGTGCATTGTTCTGTACAATGTATAGTCGAACCAAATTTAATAACCAGCATTTAAAAATATTGAGATTGAAATACGCAAAAATAATAATAAAATAGTAATTGACATTGAGAAAAGTAATATTACATCCATTATCGTATATTATGCAACAAGTGCGGTAAACGACATTTGACTCACGAGTTTATCAAACTGGTGACTTAAAATGTTTACGGAACGTGTTGCATACTATACTTTTTCTACGACCGTTAGTTTTTGGGGAAACTTTTGCAAAACAACACGAACATGATCGTCAGAATTGGCAAACGTCAAAATTCAAGGCGTGGGAAATATCTCCGAAAACACCCTATTGCTCCCGTGGGAGCAATCTGAGGTAGTAAAGTGACGCTTCCCGCACGCTAGATCGGTGTGTAATTAGGTATTTTACATTTATTGTGATTTTATTTTGAATATATGCCAAAATTTATTTCTTTAAGAAACTTCGCAAAGAGTTAAGTTTTCTTCAGCGTCGGTGACGTGACTAAAGAGAGATTTGATTGGCTATGGTGACGTCACATGTCAGAATTTGGTTGATTACGTTGGGTCGATATAAAATAATAGTAATCTACAGACAGTATTTTGAGTGACCTTTATTATATCGAATTTACACAAATTAATAAAGAAACACAAACACAAATAAGAAGGAAATCTCTACCTTCATCAAATTAGTCTTCAACCATTTTCTGCAAACAAATTTTGCTTTTTCTGTGTAAAATATGTCTGAATTCACATGATTCTTTTATAGGCTAGTATCATTTAAGTATATGTAGTGTGTTAAGTGGGGTAGTCTTAAAAACTGGCTGCTCATCAAACGTATGTTTATTTAAACAGTCCTAGATAAGGGGTGGTTTTTTTCGATGTATAGAACTTTAAGTTGTAATAAAACAACGACGGATTATTCGATTGACATGAATTTTATTTATCCGAAAGATAATCTTGTGGCATTACATTTTAAATATGATTTCTGGCATATGACCGCCACGGCTGGCGCGGATGTAGTCCAATCTGGACGTCCAATTTTCGATGACTTTTTCCAACATTTGTGGCCGTATATCGGCAATAACATGGCGAATGTTGTCTTCCAAATGGTCAAGCGTTTGTGGCTTATCCGCATAGACCAGTGACTTTACATAGCCCCACAGAAAGTAGTCTAGCACACAAGATCTTGGAGGCCAATTCACAGGTCCAAAACGTAAAATTAGGCGGTCACCAAACGTGTCTTTCAATAAATCGATTGTGGCACGAGCTGTGTGACATGTTGCGCCGTCTTGTTGAAACCACATCTCATGGACATCATGGTTATTCAATTCAGGCATGAAAGAGTTAGTAATCATAGCTCTATACCGATCACCATTGACTGTAACGTTCTGGCCATCATCGTTTTTGAAGAAGTACGGTCCAATGATTCCACCAGCCCATAAAGCGCACCAAACAGTCAGTTTTTCTGGATGTAACGGTGTTTCGACATACACTTGTGGATTAGCTTCGCTCCAAATGCGGCAGTTTTGTTTGTTGACGTAGCCATTCAACCATACCAATAAACAAAATCCGCTTATGAAAATCGGGAACAACGGCAATCTCGTTTTGGGCTCATTCGCCTTACTTGATGATCGTTTGGCTTCAATTCTTGCACGAATTGGATTTTGTAAGCACGTAAACCAAGATGCTTCTTCAAAATCTTCCATAAAGTGGATGGACATAGATCCAATTCCTGTGCTCGATGGCGGATGGACTCATTCGGGTCTTCCCCAATGCTACGCTCTACAGCAGCAATAGCTTCTTCTGTTCGCACCGTACGGCGTCTCTGGGGATGCGAGTTATCAATAAGAGGAAACGTGGTGCGAAAACTGCTCTGATGGACGATTTTGTCGACGATAAAATGGACGTAGTGCGCGATACGTATTCCGCACAGAACCATTATTTTCGAAATAAAATTGCACTATTTGCCAGCGTTGTTCAGGCGTGAGTCTATTCATGATGAATTGCCAAACCAAACTGAGAATAAATTACTTGACAGCTGTTAAATCGGTCGCCATCTTGAACAGTAATGCCAACTTAAAGTTCTATACATCGAAAAAAAAAATACCCATTATAAGGTTTGTAGCGTCTTCAGCTGATAGATAAGCAGATATAGATAATTGAATTTAATGGAAAAGTTATATTTTAGCAAAATTTAAAAAAAACTCTGAGAAAAATATGGGCAACCCAAAGCCAGAGTGAGATGGACAATATCCTGGAAATTATATTTTCATGTTGAACTCAAGTTCGTCAATTTTTGCAACAATACCATATGCATACTATTATTTATATAAAAGATGGATAGATAGATTGCTACCATACAAATAAATAATTAAAATTAAATTATAATACAAACTCACAGTTTTTTTCAAATAAAAGCTATAATTTTACAATTTCTTTTGAAGAGTTTTAGTGGTTACGCGGTTAAGTGGGTAAGTTAAATATAAATAAAACAATTGTTTAGTTCTTTAGTTTTTCTGTTTTATTACGTATTTATAAGAAGCAGAACTTCAAAAGTGCCGTCGTTAATATTTAGTTATCACTTCAACAATTAGGCAAGCGACTTCGTTCTCATTGGGATCGAAAAGGCTGATTTTTGCTTTGAATTGCCCGTCCGCTTCTACCGGCATTTTCACTTCGTCTTTGCTCAGGCTAAAATCTTTCAACGAGTACTCTCCCTAAAAAATATTTATCATGAGAAGATTCAAATAATGTAGTGTAATTTTAATTGCACAAAAATGACAATTTCTAAAGCTGAAATCATGTAACTACGTCGAACCTGCCTACGAAGTAACGCCGGATGATTAGCGAAACGTCAGCAAGTTCGACTAAGCACAAACCGACGAGGGAGGAATGCAGAAGTTTTGTAAAAATTAAGACTGATCTACTGGGGATTGGCATCTACGTGGATTATCCACAGACCGAGGAAGTGCATGCGATAAAGCTCTGCCCAAAAATGCTGGTAGAAAGGCATATTATACTCCTCCAAAGCTACCAACAGGTGCTATCAATGTCAGGGAGCTGAAACTTGGTATGGACACCTGAACACCATGGACTTGCGATCGAAAAGGCAAAAGGCAAATCACACGAAGAAATGTACATTAGTTAGGCAAACCAGAAAATCCTTAATTATGGTATACCGGATAAAATCGTGGGTTGTATTTTTGTGGGTGGCCTATATTACCGGCAAGATGGTGCAAGACTCTTCGATACGGGGCTCCATGGCCGATCTAGCTTTCTCCCACGCGGTTTTCAAGCAGGCGTCGATAATTTCGCACAATGTGTTATCTACGTCGGCGAAAAACACGTACTCGTCGTTTATCATCTGCTCTATCGTGGCCGACACCTGAAAACAATCGAGTTCTACCCCAAGTCGACAACTACGTGTCGCCGCCTACGATGTAGTCCTCGTTGATTTCATTGGCGGTCTTCAGGCGAAAGTTGCCTGTCTTCTTATCGTAGTCCATGTTGATGTCGAAGTCCATCGGCTGACCGCTGACGTCGCATTTTTGCACCGTCAGCACTTCTATCGATTTGTTCTGGAGACATAATATTATTTTTATAATCATTATCATAAGTATTATCATCAGCCACTTCGAGATATTACCGGTAGGAATTGCGCCACTTGGGCCAGACAGGTACATTTTCCGCAGAAGGTATATATATATATATATATATATATATATATATATATATATATATATATATATATATATATATATATATATATATATATATATATATATATATAGAGGTATATGGAGTTATAGAAGGAGTATATGGAGATATACGCAGGCATAATGGCAGTATATGTATGTCATGCGTAAATGTACCGACCTGTCTGGCCCGAGCGTCGCAATACCTACTATCACCCACCCCACGGACTCGAATGAAGAATAGAAAAAGTAAGAAGCAATAAAACCGAATCATGTTTAACCGCAACGTGCAACGTTAAAGTGAGGAAGGGGGCTTTTATGTAGTCAGGGTTGCATGCGTGCAAGACAATAATCGGGTTGTTTAAAAGCGATGTCGAACTTGTTTAACGATACTCGCTGGAGATACCATCGCTATAATTATCTTCCGGTACACAGGAAATAATTAGCAGTAGTCCTTCGGTTTTTTTTTTTGAGTAAAAATCGAAATGCGAAGAAGCAATTCGATGCGTTTGCTTTTAGACTGGCTTGGGGTGGAAATTGAATGAGTTCAAGTGCCGGATGAAAATGAAATTGAGTTAGAGTAAAGCTGTTCTGTAGGCCCGCTTTCGTGACATGTTTTTCATTTTAGGTTGCGTCAACGATTTAAAATTAAGCCATTTGTTGGGATTATTGTTGTGGACAGTGTCACGTGCTCAGCACAACTGGGTAAGAATAAACTTTTCGTAGAATGGCAATTGTGCTGCTCAGAGACCATGTGCAAAAAAGCAGGAAAATGTATATTCTTATAGGGTTATTATGATAAAAAACAGGAAACATGGAAACAAATTAATGCAGTTGATTTTTTACTTTTAAAATTAACAAAAAAGAGGTGTTAAGTTGTAAGCATATTACTTCATTTTTTTATACGTCAATATTTTTTTCCAAATTGGGTGATGTTTTTAGGCAAAAAAATCGTCAAGAAAAATGGCGGAACTGCTATACTGCTACTCATACTCCACCACGAAACTTTCAAAACACAAATACTAGACAAAAAATAGCTAAATTATTTTCAAAAAATGTACAAAAAATGGAAAACAATGACCTGCTGATCCATTTTCTAATTAAAGCAGTTAGTTCTCCTACATTCTCCTCGTTTTGCTTGATTTGTGTTTAAATTATTAACTTGAATTCATCAGGCAAGACGTCTTATAAATTAATAGTGTTAAATAAGAAGGTTCTCTGAAACAAAGCAATACCACGTGTGGGAATAGTGAACTCTTGTTTATGTTTTGTATTAATGCAATGTAATGAAGACGTGACTATACATTTTGATTTAAGTGGCTCATTAGTATTTTGAAGAAGCGTATGCACAAAAACACCCGAATGAAGTGGGCGTTTATTTCTGCGAGAGAACCCAATAAATATATTAGTTCATTGCCAAGAAAATCACCATAGAAAAAATCGCAATACAAAATAACTAGCTTTTAATTCAAGAAATGCCCACTATTATACGAAGCCTTATGTTTAAGCATTAAAATTGTAACTAACCTACCAACATGTCTGAATCAGTGTTCAACACCAAAACAAAGCAAAGGTTTATTTATTCTTTTATTGGTCAACAGTACAATGTACCAATTGCAGTATAACAGTAAATGTGAAAGTAGTACCCAAAGAATAATTAACCGCAGTGGTATTATTCTTACCCTGCAATTAACATTCCAAGCAATACCTAGAGCAAACAAACTATAAACAACAACACATTGGAATTAAAGGATCTACAGGAAATCTCTTACAAACTCAAGGAACAACTTAGGGTTCAACAACTGCACATCACTAAGGTCCCTACACCAAAAACCTTAACATAGAAGATACGAAGAGTTCAACCAAAAACACCATCTGTTTAACCTCCACAAAAAGTGAAGGAAATCACTGGAAATTACAAAATCATAAAAGTTGTTGGCTATGAAAGCACATCAGTCTTAAATAAGCAAGTATTTTAAGAGATATGGACCAAATACATAAGCGAACAGTTTGACGAAAGAGATCCTTCTTTTCATACTCAATTACAAACAGAACACGGTCCAGACATACCGAACTCAGAGATCGAGAAAGGTCTGAAGTACATTAAAAGTGGAAAAGCGGCAGGGTCGGCCAACATGACTAATGAAACTAATAATCGGAAATAATTAAAAAAATTTAGTACAACTCTCTAACGCTATCTGCAAAACTATAAACCTGCCAAAAGACTGGCTAAATTCAATATTTACACCCATCCCCAAAAAATCTGGAGCTGGAAGATGCGACGAGTTTTGTTTAATTAGTTTTTTAAATTGTCCTTGAATGTTAAACATAACCGAATTCGACAAAAATATGAACAAGATATAAGCAAACAACAAATTGGATTTCGTGAATGACTAGGGACTAGTCACGGACTCACGGTGCCTTATTTGCACCGTGAGTACTTCCCAGAAGTGTAGAGACCAGACGAAGGAAGTGTACATGTGTTTCATAGATTACACAAAAGCTTTTGACTGCCTTAAGCAAAAGAAATTACTGAGCATTTTTAAAAGTAGAGGCCAAGAGACTCCCAAGATTTGCTGTATGAGCATCAAGTGTTGTCAGTAAGACTAGAAGGCTAGAAGGAAACAACGATACCCATAAAACGTGGACTTGGACAAGGGTGTGTGCGGAGTTCTATGCCTTTTAATATGTACTGGGAGTTGATATTTCACTCGAGGGATCAGAGGACGGCATAAAGGTACATGGTAGATTGTTGAACAACTTGAGATACGCCGACGACACAATTATGATTGCTGATAGCTTTGAAGGCCTGCAAAGACTAGATATCCACCGTAAGCGACTCGATGGACCTTAAGATAAATACGAAAAAGAAAAAGGTTATGGTAATAAATCGTAATCCAAACCAATGCACGAACATAACTGTAGGTGGAACATCAATGGCAAGAGTCTCGAAGTTCAGATATTTGGGGAATGCGACATCAGTCTGAACATTAACACAAGACATTAGGTATTTCGTCAAATACTACTTCACACTTCACACTTCTTTACGGTGTTGAGTCATGGATATTAAAAGTAAGCACAATGAATATGCTGGAAGCGTTTGAGATGTATCGCAGAATGTTAAGGATACCATGGGCTGATCACGTTTCAAATTTGGAAGATCTACATCTAGTGAACGAGGAACGGGAGCTTCTCGATACAATAAAGAAAAGAAAAACAGCGTATCTCGGTCATCTTATGAAACATATTAAATACAATTTCAACTCAATGGAAGGTAAAATATAGGAAAAACGCGGGCCCGGACGTCGACAATGCTTTTGGTTGAAGAGACTGGACTGGTTTCGACTTACACACATTACTAAGGAGAGCACAAAAAATAGAGAAGAATTTGATATACATGTTGGCGATCTTCATTGAATGGAGATAGCAGTTTAAGAAGAAGAAAGGTTCTTTTCAGAATCTAAAAAGTCCGAGGAAATTTCTTTTTTCTACTCCCTTCTGTAAAATATCTATCAAGTGTGAGGGAAGCGTCACTTTCCCCACCCGAGTTTCTTGTCTCACGGATGCGAGCCATTTCGGACATTTTCGGGTTTGGCAGCAATCGGATGTTTTCGGAGATTTTACTGCACGGCTTGAATTTTGACGTTTGTCAAGCCTGACGGTCATGTCAGTGAATATATTCATGTTGTTTTGCAAAAATGTATCCAAAAACTAACGGTCGTAGAAAAAGTATGCAACACGTTTGGCAAACTTTAAGTCACTCGTTCATTAAGCACTCGTGCCAAATAAGCATTGTATCGTTTTATGGAAAATATTAAACTTTGGTGTTTACATTTTGCGTGACTGTGTAGGTATAGGTTTAAATATATACGATTCTGTGGTAGGACAAGGAAAAAAAATCGACTTTCAGGCTTTTTTGGTAAGGATCCAAAATATCTCGGAATGCGAAGATTCCGACGAAGATTTGGGATTTTTGGACTCGACAGTGACGAACAATCCTCGTCACGATCAAATTTTCAGCGCAGCTTTCAACTTGCCTTTCGAATTGAATGACGACGCATTGATAGTAACGATTTAGTCTAATTCGCCTGTAGTTTTCACCGATACAGTACTCGATTTTAAGCATTATACTTCGTATGTGTGGAACCCCGTGGAGAGAGAATGGGAATTTTTATTCAGTGGTAGGCGTTCCGTTTGCAACTCCATCGTAAAGTCGATAGCTTACGAAAAGTTTAGGAGCTACGCCGGGTTTCCAGCAACTTGTCCCATATCCGAGGTAAGAATGATAAGTAGTAATAGGAATTATTGTCTTTCTCTTGCTCATTTATACACAATGTATTAAAACGTTTTCTTAATTTCCCACTTCCCTTATTAAATTGCTAATTTTAGTTATTTCAGGGCAATTACGCACTAAGTGGGTTCCCAGTCACTGGACAGTACGTCGTATTGAGCGATTTAAGAAAGGTGTACCCCCTGACTCGGCACAGGGTTAGACTGACTGTAGAAAATTTACAAATTATATGTAGAGTCGTCTACACCATGTCTAGTAGCTAGTAGTAATTTGCACTTAACGCAACAAGTCTCGAAACTGTCCAACACTCTCCGAAGGTAGTGCTAGTGGAATCTAGTGTAAGTGTGCTAGTTTTGAGTAGTAATATTGAACGTACGCCGTGTGCCAAATAAAACGAGCCATTTAGCTTATACAGGGTGTCCCAAATAGGTGGTGTCGTTTTGGAGAATTTAATTATCAAAATCTCAAGATTTTCAAATGGAACTCCCTATACTTTTATTCAGATATGAATTCTAGGACAAAAAAACAAGGTAAGTTGGTAATTTATCTTATATTTAAATTTTACATAGTTTTTGAGATATTCGAGGTTTAAGATAACACCCGTATAAATTCGTGTTGAATTTAAATTCAATTCAACACATTACATCACTTGTTGGGCAATATTAGGTATTTTTAAATAGCAAAGACGCGATACTACTTCTTTTAAAGATCTTGTGATGTCATAGCCAACTACATTTTTAAATATTTTGACATTTGTTTATTGTTTTGATGCCAGATGAAACGAGCATTTTAAGAGGAACATTTTTAATTAAACTTTATGGACGGAAATAACGGACAATTTTTAGTTAACTTTTTTTTGTAGATTTATTTATTCAAATTTGTTACCTTGGTTAGTTAGCTTATAAAGTTTAATTACTTATTTTTGTTATTTGGTATTTTCAATTAATTAAACGTTTCTTTAAATATGAATTCTGAAGTTTTATTAAATCTGTATTGTTAGCAATAGGTTTTATTCGTATATCTCGAGTATTATATATTTAAAACAAGTAGGATCATGTCTTTGCTATTTAAAAAATACCTAATATTGCCAAAGAGTGACCTAATGTGGTTAGCTTTAAATTCAACAAGAATTTATACGGGTGTTATCTTAAACCTCGAATATCTCAAAAAGTAAGAAAAATTGAAATATAAGATAAATTACAAACCTACCTTATTTTTGAGCCTAGGATTCATATCTGAATAAAAATATATTGAGTTCCATTTGAAAATTTTGAGATTTGGGACACCCCGTATAAGCTGATAACCTGATTAAGTAAAGCATCTTCTCCTTAGTCTGTGGTTAAATTTTCGTTGCAATATCTTACAATTACAATTTTATACCGGGCAATCAAAATATGAAAAAAAAAAAAACAATAACCCCAATTTCTGCCTAAACTATGCAAAATTCGAGTAGGAATTCCTTGAGAAACTGACCTTTATTTTGCCCAAGGATTCCGAAAATGTCGATAAATACAGGGTGTTCCAATTAAAATAACAAAGTTTATGTCGGTGGGGACACTTTTGGAACACCCCGTATTAACAAAATTAGAATGTTTTAAATCTTCAGGAGAGTTCAAGAAAGTTTTGTACGAAACTTTTTTTCGTATCTCCTATGGGTCTCCAGATCGTATAGTGGGTCGTTTTATCTGGCACACGGTGTATAACTATTTTGTATTTCAAAGTTATTTGGAATTGTTTTAATTATAATGAGCTTGTTTTTCAATATAAGTGCGTTTGAACTGTCTGCCTATCTCATGTTGTAAGCTATATCATATCAATCTTAGTCCGTACATAATCCTCAAGACTCAGCAACTTGAGATGAGCTCCAACCATCACGTCGCGTTACGATGCATATTTCCAAGATTTTGGGAAGCACTGTTTTTGTAACCATGGACGACGCCGCAAAATCTCAAAGAATAATAATTTTCTTTTTGTGGAAAGGAATAATTCATTTGGTGAGTCCTCAGAATTCAGGAGTACTGTTAATCGGTGGCTTTATCGTTTTAAAACCGGGAGAACGTCACTAGAAGACGAGCGAGCATCCAAGTAAGAAACTTTACTGCCGTCGAAGAATTCGGGCAAATCAGGTACACGACAAGGTTTTGGCAAGTTGGGCGCAGAACAGAACTCGATAAAAACAAAAACTCAATGGGTTTGATACTTGTCGTCAACTGGTACTGTTAGATCGTTATGGTGGTGAATGTTGGCAATGAATAATAACCACTGACGAAAGGTGGATTCTTAATTTTTTTAAATTTTTAGATGGGCAAAGTTGGACAACTCTGTAGGAGGGGTGAGGGGGTTTCAACAAAAAATTTTATACAGAATAAAAATAATATCGTAATATTGTTTTATTTTTAACATAAGTACAATTTATAAATATTAAAAAATGTATAATATTTTATTTCCCGACATATTTTATATTTGAGTGGATTTGTTTCAGTAGATTGTGATTTTTTAAAATATTGTAAAAATCTTTACAAGGATTTGTCAAATGGCTTTCAAAGTTTCAACGCTTAATTTTGATTTTTCTGATGTCCATTCTTGATTTACTGTAGAAAAAACGCGTTCAGTAGTACAGTTTTTTCCAAATGTTGATATAATTCTAACGTGGTTTCCACTGTGATTTTTTCCGATGTCCAATATTTACTTCAATATTACACTTCATTAAAAAGATCACTTTCGGAGATGTTACTATTCGGAAATTTTTCAAAAATATAATGAAATGATTTTTGCACATCGTCCCAATGAAGTTTAGGTTTTAATGTAACCCAAAGAAAATGGTCAATATCATCACATTGTCCAAATATTAATAATAAACTCTTCGAGCTGGTTTATACTATCGCATATAGTTAACGGTAGAAAATTATTTTCTAACCTCTCTTGACATTGACATTTTAAATTATTAACTTCATGCGTTACTTATATCGCCGACATTTTGTCATCTTCAATTAGTTTTATAACGTTTTGAAAAAGAGCAGCTTGATTTTGTAGAAAATTCTTTAACCATTTCAACGTGTACAGTGTATATATAGACATAAGAATATATTTTAACAACAGCAGCTGTTTGAATAGCGTTATGTATAATATGCGCTGTAAATACAACGACCAACACCAATAATATTTTCATTAAGATTTTCCGTTAATTTATAAAAAAATATTATTTGCACCTCTCCTCGCTTTCCTCCGAAATTTGTTTTCGTGTTGTCTGTACAATATGTAATAAATTTTTGTTTTAATTTTTTTTTCCAAAATATCAATAATGGAACTGAAAATTATTTCACAAGGGCAAAAAAATAAAATCAAATTTTTTTTATTTCAGTTTCTGTATCAATATATATATATATATATATATATATATATATATATATATATATATATATATATATATATATCCAGTCGGAGTTCAACGAGCGAACGGATGATATCCCGGAATATAGTGTCATCACATTTTTCCATCCGTGAATCAATACGTGAGTATATATATATATATATATATATATATATATATATATATATATATATATATATATATATATATATATATATATATATATATATATATATATATATATATATATATATATATATTCTCACGTATTGATTCACGGATGGAAAAATGTGATGACACTATATTCCGGGATATCATCCGTTCGCTCGTTGAACTCCGACTGGAATCCTGCAAATCCTGCATCCGACTGGAATCCTGCAGACGTTTCGCCAAAATCTCACTTGGCATCTTCAATGCTCGCGCTCCGGTGTTCGAAGTGTTTTCGGAGCGCGAGCATTGAAGATGCCAAGTGAGATTTTGGCGAAACGTCTGCAGGATTCCAGTCGAATGCAGGATTTGCAGGATTCCAGTTGGAGTTCAACGAGCGAACGGATGATATCCCGGAATATAGTGTCATCATATATATATATATATATATATATATATATATATATATATATATATATATATATATATATATATATATATATATATATATATATATATATATATATATATATATATAATACATAAGAATATATGGATACAAAAGTAGTTGTTTGTAAATTTTTGTTTTTTGTTCTGAAAATGCATATAGGAAAGGCAAATACTTGGCCTTTGTTCTAGCACAGGTAATTTTTTTTATTAAATTACTTTCTGACAATTGTGATGTTCAATCCATAGATCTGAAGAAATGATTGTGATTAACAGCATGAAAAGACATAAGTCTTTCTGTCCTTCTTTTCTCCATCTCCATAAGTTGTTTTTGGACAAAAATCCAGCATTTTGGAAGATGATGCAGCAGCATTTAAACATCTTTTATGTTCCTGTGTGTAGAAATGCTAAATATCATTCTTCCCGCCTTGCAAAATAATAAATTCACCATTACATGTCTCACATTTTACTATGTAATCGTTTAGAGATTTTTTAATAAAAGGGAATTCACTTCTTAAATCATCGATGAATTTACATCCTCCTTTCTTACCTATTTTGTTAAAAATCTAAAAAATTAAATCAAATATAATATAAATTATCGTATATACAAAAACATGCAAATAACTATTCTTTTACTTTTTATAAAACTTTTGGATTCCTCCTGCGTCGGTTTTTGCTGAGTCGAAATTACTGACGTTTCGCCAATCATCCTGTTGGCTTCTTCAGAGCTTGACTGACACTAAGTTTCAGTCAAAATCAGTTTCAGTCAAGCTCTGAAGAAGCCAATAGGATGATTGGCGAAACGTCAGCAAGTTCGGCTCAGCAAAAACCGACACAGGAGGAATCCAGAAGTTTTGTAAAAAGTATTACAGTAGCTTGTGGAAGTTTCTTTGAAAAATCAAATAACAATTTGATTGTTTAAATATACAAGTGTATAATTTAATGTTTTGATTCTTAAAAGCAAATTCTTGAGTAAAGTACAACATTATAAATCTATGAGAATTAAAAAAAAACGAACTAAAATGTAATAAACACATACAGAACAAATATTCGTTTTTCGCCGAATTAATTTGCACCAAACATAATATACATGAACATATTTTATTGTTGTTTATAACGAAATTAATTTCATTGGCCTAAAATATTTTCAAAATTTTATTCGTATAATTAACCAAAGCAATGCTTTTCATAAATATAAAATTTTACTTAATTCTAAAGTCGGGAGTTTTGAAAAATCGGGACTGTCACGCCAAAAGCGGGATGTCTGGTCACCTTAGCTTGTCGTCCACTACGACGGTCACTTTAGCTTTTCTGATTATTCTACTAAAACACCTTCAAAAATGGTTATTAATTTCTTTTTCAAGCCTTTGCATCGTGCATCGTGTCCGTAACTTCGATGGTAAGTCATATTCCACTAATTCGTATTCCTCAAACACAGAGTTATTTCGAATTCGTCGGTTTGGTTCATTAGAAAATTCGCTTCCGGTTAGTTAGTCCTCGAAAATACGTCAAGTATTTTTGGGGCGGATCATCTCGAGCGATAACGCTGCGGCAAGTTTTGCACCTTTCCTGATCTAAATCGAATAATTCCTCCGTCAAACGCACGAAGCGGGCGCAGCTTCAACGTAAAACGTTTATCTTTGATTTTTCTCACAAATAAACGGGAAATTTCGCTCCCCTTTGAGATCGCCACGACGCGAAAATTGACGACAAAAAAGGGAAATAACTTTTCCGACGCGTTCTTGACAACGCCCAGGAAATGAGAGTGTCGATCAGGATTATTTGTTAAGAGGGTATAACTGCACTTTTATGTGGGAGCCGTCGCTGACGCAGGAAATAACTCTAGCACCGTATATTAAATCAAATTGAATTGGAGCGTCTTTATTGTGTTAAATAAAAAGGTGAAATAAAGAAATAATAAAAAATATTTTCCAGATAAGATATTGAATTAATAACTCATTACTAAACATTGTCTGTCTCGTTGGTTAACTTATACAGAATTATATAGAATAGAATATCAAACAGAATTACTACTATTAAAATTTAAAATATCCACGAAAGGATTCTAAGCGAAAAAAAAAGTTTTCAAATAATAATGTATCCGGAGTTGTGTGTTAGATAAAACACAAAAAACAATTGCTGGATGTTTGCCCATAGGCCATAACTACTAATAAACACTTAAGTAGCGTATAAATTCGAAGAAAATGCGTTTTCCCCGTAATCCATTAAAATAAAAACATTAATTAATTTTTTTCTGAAAAAATAGTTTAACGTCTTTGAATTAAAGACTCAAAATTATTTTTTACAGTTATTTATCATATAGGGTGTTAAAAAATGTATTTAAATGTACTCCTTAGTTCATCTCTGAAAAATTAAATATGTTTTAAGGACACGTTTTAAGGGGTGGCCGACATATTAAATTTTAAATAAAAATCAATGTATACCGAATTATACAGAAAAAAAGTTTTCAGGCAGCTTGTTGAAGGAACTGTATAAAATATTATATTAATAGGGTAGTTCGAGGATAGATGGCGCAGAAGGTGAGATGGCGCAATGATTTTACAGCGCAACCGCTAGAGCTACAAACAAGTCGAGACGCCATGATGTACTTTAGTTCATATTAAACAAGCCGCCGAACTGTGTGTGTCTACCGGTTAAACCCGTATTTTGCTATTATTTTTTTGTGATTCGGTTGGGACGAAAATATTACTCCGAATTTCTTCTTAGTGCTGATTGACCTTGATTTTAACAATAATTTTAGGCAAGTTATCGTTTTAGGTAAGTAAAAACATCTACGTGTTGATATATAACCTTAAAATTGCGAATATTTTAAAATGGGTTCAGCTTGTTAGGTGCGCCATCTCCCCTCCCACGGCGGGGATAGAAGGTTCACTTATTTTGAGGTGAGATGGCTCAATAATATTTCTTTTCTTTTTCAGTATGCCGACCAATTACAAGCGCACCGGAAGTTGCTTCAGGGCTAATTGGACTGAACAACAGTTAACTGAAGCCATTCAAGCCGTTAATGAAAAAAACTGAGGCTTCAAGAAATTTTGGAGTACCGGCCACTACTCCACGAAGAAGAAAAGCGAAAAATTATGTGAAGAAAGGCCCTCTTGGTCCCTCGTCAAAATTAGGCGACGCTGCTGAAGAAAAGTTGGTTAAACACATCCTAAAACTTCAAAAAAACGGATTTTCTCCTACACGATTCGACGTGCGAAGCATGGCTTTTAAATTGGCCGAACAGCTGGGAATTGAACATCGTTTTAATAAGGAATCGAGACTAGCTGGTTTTCCGTGGCTTAAGTTATTTCTTCAGAGATATCCAGAGCTGTCAGTGAGAAAAGCAGAAGGGGTCTCCATTAATCGATCCTTGGGTATGAACAAAAAAGACGTACAGGTTTATTTCCAGCTGTTAGAAAATACTCTCACCGAAAACAATCTTATGGGAAAACCTGGACATATTTTTAATATGGATGAGACTGGTCTGCAGCTAAATAATAGGCCGGGGCATGTCATAGTTAAGTATCAGCTCCGGTGAAAAAGAAGAAACTATCACAGTTATAGCTTGCTGTAAAGCGGAAGGTGTTTTTATTCCCCCTACCTGCGTTATGAAAGGTAAAAATAAAAAGCAAGAGTTCGAAGATGGGATGCCACCTGGATTCTTGGTTTACATGTGGGAGAAGTCGGCCTACGTTAATAGTGACATATTTTTTAAATGACTTAAAGATCAATTTGTTCCCAGAAAGCCACCAGGGACAGTTTTGTTGTTGGTTGATAGCCATGCGTCACATTGCAGTAACGTGGAGATGCTAGAATACTGTGTTGAACAGAACATAATATTATTTTGCTAGCCAAGTCATACGACACAGTTTTTGCAGCCCCTAGACAGATGCCTTTTCAGATCGTTAAAACTAAACTATTATTCAGCTTGTAATTTATACATTAAACATAACCTAAGACGGAAGCTCACCAGATTACAGTTTGGAAAGTTACTTACTGAGGGATGGAATAAGTCTGCGATTGTAAATAATGGAACTTCAGCATTTAAGGCTACTGGAATTGTGCCTTTCAAACCTTCTGCAATCCCAGATGAAGCGTTTTTGACTGAAAATAATAACGTAGGTGATCCTATCCCCGATCCAGTACAAAATGAACAGAATCTTAGTGGTGGTTCTCAAACTTATCCTGAAGGTTTAGCTGATGATAATCAACAGCCTTGCTGCAGTTGGCAGACTGTAGATGCACCTGTACCAGAAAATCAAAATAAATCTCCTGCAAGAACCAATAAAACTACTCCTGCGAAGCGTACCCCTGGAAAATTACTGGATATCATCTCGCCTGTTCCAGTTGTTTCTGCTGAAGTTAATTCTGTTCGACGAAGGGGCAAACAGCTGGCAGAAATTTTTACTACAGAGGCAACAATTTCCGAGAAAAAGAAAAAAACTGATAAGACAACACAGAAAGGAAAAAACATTAGTGAAATGGAACCAGACGACGATTTAGAAGCACCGATATTCGATGATTCTTCAGATGATGTCGATGACGCTGACGAGGCTTGCGCTGGTTGTAGCGAGGAGTATTCCCAAACCACAAAATCTGACGACTGGGTTCAATGCTTACGTTGCTCCAAGTGGTTTCATGATTCCTGTTCCAAGTTTGTTAACTTTTGCGATGAATGTGGTTTTCTGATGTGCAAAACAAAGTGAAATTTTGACCAAAAAACTTTGGATTGTTTTTGTAAACTATTTTTATTTAAAAAAAAAAATGAACAATTTATTTTCATATTGATTTTATATATTTTATACGCATTCCTAATTCGATATAGATTTTTTTTTAAAAGAAACTGCAGTTATAATTTGATTAATAAATATATTAACATGAAATTTCAAAACCTGGGCGATCTATCCTCGAATTACCCTATATGAATTATTAACATTCCAAATAGGAATAATATATATAGAAATATAGAAAATTAGTGTGATTTGACTTTAAGCATCTTATAAACAATAACTATACATTTTGACTTGTGACAATAATACACGCTTATAATTAAAGTTTAAAAATATTTCCTAGAGGAGTTTGCAAGAAAAAAATGTACAATAACTTGAAAGAATAAGCAAATAAGAATATGTCATATAGAACATCGAATTATTAGAATTTTTAGAAACAACAACGACAAAATATTGAGCAATAATTGTGTGAGTTGCCTAATTTATATGGGATTATACAGAAAAATAGTAACATGTATTATTAGCATTTAACATATCCCCCAGAACAGTCTGCAAAAAAAACTTTGATGATTTGAGACAATGAGCAATTAATTAAAACATAAAATTTAGAAACAATTACGACCAAATTTTGATATCTGACTTATAAGCACAGCAAGCGTATAAATGTTATATTAATATGTATAATCGGAATCAAATGTTACCCAGAGGAGTTTGCGAGAAGAAAAAGTAAAATAATTTAATAATACTGCGTGATTTCTTGTTTACTCTATAAAGAATTATACACAAAAATCTGATTAATGAAAATGTAGAAGATTTTAAATTAGTATTTAAAACTGTTCCCAAGAAAATAAAAACAAAAATAAAAATTACACTTGATTTGCCGGTTAATTTACACAGTATTATAAAGAAGAAATAGTTTGCAGATAGCCGATTCAAGAAAATGTATAGAGTTTGCAAGAAAAATGTAGAATAATTTAAAGTAATAATAAGTATAATAATAATATTGAATGAAGAACTATATAGTAATATATAATGACCTGTTGGGAATTCTGAGAGAATTATAAGATACTTAATCATTCATGGATAAGAAAATTTTACCAAAAAAGTTGAATAATTTAAGAAAATGAGCAAATTATAATACAGAATATACAAATGTCACACTTGTATAAGTACTTTTTGAGCCTGATAGAGGAAGATGAAAGGAGAGAACGCTAACTTTTTCCTCGAATACAGCGGCGCGACGAGCATTTCATACAAAATCTTGAAAACTAATTTTTAAATTGATTTTTCAATTAATTTAGTAAAAATTCATTTTATAATAAAATGCTTTATTACTGTTATTACTACTAATTTTCAAAATAGCGAACCTAAATTTTCGAGCAGGCGTGTTTTCGCGATAAAAGAAATCCGCGCCGTCCGGAATTGTCGGTGTAAATTAAAAACTGCCAAGCGAAACTGACACACGCGAGTTATACATCAACCTGGCATCCCCGCCCTACGGCGCATGTGCCCTACAATCGTCCCGCTGGTTTTTGCCCCCGAAAATCCTCCGAGAAGTCCTCGACGCCGACTGCTCGACTTAAGCCGCTGTAAAATACGTCGACGTATCGATCCCGGACGCCGCGACGCAATATAATTCAATCGCGGCGTTGCCGGGTGTCGCGGATATTCCCCGACGTTTCCAAGCGACTGGGTGATATATTTTTCGGGTTGGAAAAAATTTACGCGCGCTACTGCGATCGTTTAAGTTCGTATTCGGAATACGGAGGAAAGCGTTGTCAAGTTTCCGAGCGGGGACGTTCCGGGAAAGCGTCGCGGTCGCAACGGCACCGTCGCGTCCATTCCGCCATTTACTGTGTTTACTGCGTTTAGTGGATGACTTTCCTGCGACGGGAATTTTCCGGTGAAAATGCGTTTTCGCTCGGATTTGTGATTTTCGTACGGGCGTCGGGCGTTTTATTTCTAGAACCCCGCTCAACGCGATTTTCGTCATTTTCGGATTTAATCTGCGAGGTGAGTGGATATTGTAGGTTATGTCGGCGCTTGCCGGCTCGTTTATACACTTGGGGGATGATTTTACGACCCATTAGTGTGCAGTTTTATTGGATCCGATTAAATACAAAGTGGCTGAACCCAGCGGTTCGGATTTGTGGCGTGGAACGGAATTAAAAAGGTTTCGAAGGAAGTTGATGTGGGAAATGTGGCCTTTGCGTGTGCTGAGCGCGACATTATAAATGTATCAAACGACCGAAGGCTGCTAATGAATATTTGCCCGATCATTATCTATCTGCTCTGTATATTTTCTTTTTATCAATTTTCCCGTCGTACCAGCCCCCGATGAACTTGAATAACCCCGCGTGCATCCACCGAATCGTCAACATTTTGTTGCACATACTAGATGATAATCATTATAGACCATAGTTAAAAAGCATTTGTCATTCTTTTCCGTAATTTTGAAATAAAAAGTCGGTAGTATTAATTTTAAATATATAATTAAAATCCGTTTGTTTTTTCTGATATTTCGATTTTTTTTGGGGGCACTGCACCCAGTTCGTTTGTCCTGTTGGCATACTAAATGATCTGATGGCTATTAAAACGAGAACCTTTTCAATAATTGTTATTACTCTCATTTTTCTGCTTTCAGCTCCTACTAGCTGTTTCCTTATTGCTCCAGTAGGTCAAGATATCGGTCAAGGTATCAATATCGTCTTCATTTGCTACTGAGTGCCTGGTTTTTATCTACAAAAAGTTTTCATCTCTGGAATCTTCAACTGTAACCTCATCAGAGGCATTTGTCGATGTTATTTTGGTTGTATCTGCTGTAGTGTTATCGCCATCATCATTCTCTTCGGAGTCAGGCCTCTCGAACATAAAAGTTTTTTATTAAATAACCTACGTTTATATTTTCCTTTTAAAATAAACCGAGATTTAATGACAGTGCAGCTAGAGTAATATTTTTTTTGCAGTTTTAAAATTCAAGCAATTTTTATTGGAAATATAAAGTGTTCTATTTATATCATATTTTATGCAACATATTGTTACAATACTACGAAGCTGATTTTTTAAAGTAACACTGCGCACACGGGAGTGGAAAAATGATATTAACAGAAACTTAATATACTCACCTTACTAATCTAAGATTCATTGGAGCATCAATTATTTTTTGTATATTAATTTTTAATAGTGTGCTACCACACTTACAATGATATGAAACTAATATGCGAGTCGTATATATATATTTCAAGGATCATAATTTTACAAATGGGTGTTACTATTGTTATTAAATATTTCGATATATATATATATATATATATATATATATATATATATATATATATATATATATATATATATATATATATATATATATATATCGCAACTACGATCGGGCGAAATTAACAACGCGATAATTCAGGGGGCGGAGCCACCTCCCCCCACGCACAAGCAGCACCGTTACCATCTCCGGCGCAGAGTATAAATACCGCACGCACCGCCGATAACCTCCCAGTGTTCGAAGTGTTTTCGGAGCGCGAGCATTGAAGATGCCAAGTGAGATTTTGGCGAAACGTCTGCAGGATTCCAGTCGGATGCAGGATTCCAGTCGGAGTTCAACGAGCGAACGGATGATATCCCGGAATATAGTGTCATCATATATATATATATATATATATATATATATATATATATATATATATATATATATATATATATATATATATATATATTCGATTAAATTTTTTTTTATTTGGTACTTGTCGTGATGGAACGCAGAATGATCAATTAAAGTTTGTCAACTGGTGGCCATTTTGGAAAGAAATATTAACATGTCATATCCCATTCCAACGAAAATTCCAAGCAGATTTCGAATGTAACAGAAGTGGCGATATCTATTTAAATTGATACTGTTGATATGACTTCCTATTCTGGCTTCAACAATCTAAATATGTCAAAAAATTTGGTTTTATCCACTCCTTACTCTATTATAAAATCAAATAAGCACGTTCAAAGCTGTAGAAAAAAGTAGAGGGTGTTTTTAAAATCGACAGTTCAATAGCTTGGTTACTGGCAGATTTTTTTGTTCACCATTTATTTTTTGAAAAATTGGGGCAATATTTTTCGTCGCTCGACCATTTTGAAAAAATAATAAATTCAAGAAATAAAATAAATTAAATTTCTAGCTTTCTTTCTGTGTTATTACTTGCTTGTTACACGGAAATAGTTAGCAAATTTTGTTGTTTAATTTTACTAATATAAATTATTTCCACGGCCTGTATGTTCGACGGTTTAACCGCGTGGAATCGAAGCTTCCCGAACAAATTCTAAAATAATGCGATGCCTTGTTGTGTACACGATATAGAAAGCGCTCTTGTTACAGCCATAATAAACCACATAAATGTGTACATGTGTTAAACTTTATCAGAACCTACTGTATATTTATTTATAATCCAGGTGTTACCGAGTTATGTGTATAAACAAAACAGCGGCGCGCCTCGCATATTTATCCCCTTAAATATTTACCACTTTCAACGTAGGTATCTGAATTACAATATGTACACACACAGACAGACTTCGTTACACTTTAAACGTCGGGCTGGAACTTTCGTTTAAAATTCTCCTGGTAAACTCGTTGAAGTTTATGGTCCATGAATCAAAATGGGGTTTAGGCTAAGATTTCTAACGACCACAACTTACATTAAATTCAGAAAAAATGCAGCATGCAAATGTTCAATGTGCATTTTGGTAACTATTTATTGCTGTTAGTTGATCTCATTTGGTTTTTATTTTTATATTCATTTGTTTTAATATGGTATTTTGAAAAAAACTGAAAATATTGTTTTGGAATTATAGAAGTTCATTTTCTTTTTGGAAAAAATCTGAGAGCTATTGTAAGAAAAGTTAAGGTCTTGTATATTTGCGTAAATAAATAAAAGAGCTAATCTTTAAATGTAGTATACTAAACAAAACATCAAAGTTCTTGTCTTCCATCTATTACTGGCTTCTAAATTCATTTGGTGCGTTTTCAGGTTCAAATAGATTTTCATTTATTTATTTATGATGTTGGTGATTAAAATTCATCAAGTTGTTATGATGGGATAGGGGAGAAAGGGGTTTGATCTGATCCGCAAAAATCATACTTGAGCAAAAGTTACCGTGCCCACTCCAGACTTTGAAATTTTCTATGATACACTGCAAAAATTTATGAACCGGTTTTGAACATGGAACACAATAACAAGCGATATCCTGATCCTGTTAAATATTATTCGCCTCTATCAGACTAAAGCTTGCTTTGACCTTTGTAGAAGGTGTTGAAAAGTGGTGAAAAACTCTAAATCACTTTTGAAGAATAATTTCTTGATCTAGGTTCTGCTGAACATCTCAATCCCACTGGACTAAACCCTCGATGTTCAAAAGTGATGAAAAGAAGGAGGTTTTCAAACTTGCAGAATGTCCCGAATATTGTTGGTCATTTGAAATGGTTCTTCCCTCCTTGATCTGGATTTTGTTGACGGACAATTCGTAACTTCAACTCGCTTAGCCTTTCCCGCTTAAATCACGATCGGCACTTGGCTCAATTAACATTCGGGCGTGAGCAGATAATTTTTTTTTTTACGACCGGCTATAAAAATGGTGGCACGTGCAACATACACCCTGTGCATGCGAGCGACGGTAAGCGTCCGCCCTTCCGTGGCCCTATAAATGCACATAAACGCCCATAAAACACCTCGTAAAACCATCAAATAATTAAAGCTTACACATAAAAACAACTAGATCATAATATCCTCGTTTTACGATCGAATCGGATTGACGTGGGGGCAGGGTCGGACTTGAGAATTTTTTCTGAGTCGGTTGTCGGCTGGTATTGAATTTCGACTCTATATTAATAATTTTACATTTACATATTACAATTTTTTACAAATTTACATTTTACAATTACATTTTTAGTGTTTTTGGTATTTCTTTATGAAACCAGATGGAAGAAGTGAACATTTTTAAGTGCTATCCTATTATTGAGTGACTTCATGACAGTATTTTATTAATTTTCCTGTCGTTTACATGAAAATATTGGTACATCTGTTCAAAAAATAATTATTTATCTTTTTTTGGAAATTTATCAAATTTTTAGGTCAAAAGCAAGGAAATATTCCGCAAAAAGTTTGATAAACGTCACTTAGGTACTTTATTTGCAAAACAATAGGAATATTGAATGACATGAGACCATCAGAACTGACAAATGTCAAAATACCGTGATCAAACTACCGGAGCATATTAAGCCTTAAAGTAATACTTAAACTCTTTGCAACACTCTTGAACAGTGGATAATTGGATACGTTATGCTGGGGAGTAGCAACAAGTGTTTAAAGTTGTGAAAACATTTTCAATTTTGGTCAACAGTCACCGTTCTCAACGTTTATATCAGGACTAGTAGTCGTTTTTTGTTTTTTTTTTTGCTTTCCAAAATTGTCACATTGCAAAAGCATGAATTTATCTTAGGCGCTGATTTTTTAAAACGTAACAACACTACGACCTCTTCCGCAGAGACATTTTCACTATTTTTGATGAATTTTGAAATAATTCCAAGAAACCAAAAAGTTATAATAAGATGGGGAGCGATTGAACACGAAATAAAAGAAATATCGGAAAATGTCTTTAACGGATTATACTATATGACGTCACGGCCAACAGTGGGAGGTCGTTATTTTTTTTATCAATCTCTTATCGCGCGTTGTCCTGAATCCGGACCTGCCTAAGTTTGACATTTCCAACAGTCCGTGATTTATACCTAGGTTTAATTTGTTTGCATATTTACCAGAATTTTTGTTAGTTTTGATTCGAATTCGACGATTGTTGAAGTTCCGGTATTCAAATAAACACCGGCAGGAAGGGGGGAGGCGCAATACGTATTTTTCGCGGTTTTACTGTCGATTGTTAACGCCCGCGTCAGTGTGGTCCGTCGCCTCCGCATTTCCTCCTATATACGATGACGCATCGTTGTTGGATTTCTTTCCTCAATC